GTCCCCCAAAGAGGATCCGCAGCAGTGACAAGTGGGAATCCTGATGTCTCTCCTCCTTAGTCTTGACTGCAGAGGTTTTGCCAGAGCACTCCATCAGAATAGAGATGCTCAGGTCTGCAAAGTGGTACCCTGTCTGCTTCAGTCCTGCGATTGGCTGAGCTGCTGTGCAGGGCAACTGCTTGGTTCCTGAGATTTGTTGGCAGCCTCCTGCTCTTTGTTCTTCCGAACGTGAAAATGGTGTAAATAGCAGCATCTGCATCTGTTCCTGCTGCTCTGACCGCCAGCCAGATTCTTACTTCCCCTCACCCTTCCTGTTGAGCTGTCCACATGATGCACAGAGAGCAGACTGCAGGGTGGGGTGCAGCATGGAGACCCCAGAAATACCCAGGAAACTGGTTGACACTTCCCTCACAGCAGTCCTGGGGACTTACAATTCTGGTAAAATTGAAAATTCCCTTTAGTGCATTGTGGGTGCATATGGGACTCGGGGAGTGATGTGGACGAGAGGCAGGTCTGCCTCCCTTGGCTACTGAAAAGGAACCCACGCCTTCTGCCTTGCCAGCTGCTGTCCCCTACGCGGAATTTTGAGCCTGGAATTTCTTACAGGAGAATGGTTCCCTGTCATCAGTCCCCTGACTTCATTAAAGAACCCTGGCAAATGTATGACTCAAGAAATTGCATCCCTGACTGCAGCCAAGGGTGAACCTCTGCTTTGTCCACCTTCTTGTGTATAGCTACATGCAATGACCGTGTTCCTTGGTTATTGTTATTTCCCTGCTGTATCTCTTGTTTCCTTGCACTGACAAAAGAAAAGGAAAACAAAAACAAAAAAACATTGCTTCTGCTGTTAAAGGTAAAACATAACAAAACCTGGGCTTGAGCTGTGGATGGGACTCAGCTGGTAGAGCGCTTGCCTAGCATGCATGAAGATCTGGGTTCCATCCCCAACACTGCATAAATGTGTGTCTTTCTAATGCATCAACCCAAAGACAGGCTTGTGTCTAAGAAGCAGCCTGTGATGACATTTTAAAACTACACAGCTGGAGCTTTTCAGGGCATTTGGGAGATTCTAGACCCTGGGGCGCATGTGCCCAGAATGGCCATCCTATCCCACAGCTGTCAGCAACTGACCCTGACAAGGTCTGGCATGTTCTAGGACAAGGATCAGCAGAGTTAAGCCCCAACTGGCAGTGGGTGGTGGCTTCCACAGTCTGAATGAGTAAAAACAGGCTGACGCATTCTTTAACCTATATAATGTTAAGAGTTTGTCATCTAAGCAAATGGATGTCAGTCTTTGTGCCCAAGATCTCATAAGGGTTATACACCAAACAGGGTAAAAAGGACAATTTCACCAGTCCCTGAGCAGACAGGGAAATGCTGGTGAATGGGATGAGCCAAAGGGCAGATAGAAAATCTATAAGCTTCCCAGTACAGGTACCTCTACCTTACCAGAGGTCCTCTCTACCTATTCTTGGCACCACTTCCTCCCTAGCTTCAGCCTGCAGCTCAGCATGTCAACTTGACTACAGCAGTATAATGTCCAACTACATTCTAAAACCTGTTTTTATCTCCACAGATAAATGTAGCTCTCACCTGTCATAAAGGTAGGTGATTGTATGTATGTATGTATGTATATATATATATATTATGCATGTCTCTCTGTGTATATCAATAACAAAGAAACAAAGACAAAGAGGGTGTCAATTTGAGAGGGAGTGAGGGGAACATGGGAAGGCTAGGGGGAGAAGAAGAAATGGGAGAATGGGGAAATGATGTAACATTTTTTTTAATTAAAAAATATGATTCAGGCAGTAGACAACTCTGGAGCCTCAGAAAGTCCCCCAAACTAGCCAGATAACCCCCATCTCCCAATGTTTATATAAGAAGTAAAGGACTACTAAAGAAACAGAAACCAAGCAATCTGTTTGGAACTGGCTCAGACTGACTAAGCTGCCTGGAAGAGACCCTCACCAACCTGCCGACTGTCTGAAAATCATGCAGTGAACCCTATAATTTTGAATTTCAGGAGCACCACCCATGTTACATGGGCTGTCAGAGATTTTGCTACCTTCATGTATTTCCTGCTCCTGTAAGTAACCACAATAAACTTGTGGGTTCACCAAGTCAAACTTTGGTGGTATCCTTAATTTGGTCTGCCATTGATTCTTTTATTGCCATGGCAACACTAGCTGTTTAGAAACGCCTGTTTCCCCAGCAATACCATAGTGATCTTAATCATCTCACTTTACCACCTCCATGCTTTAAGTCTGCTTTACTTGAAGAATGAAGTGACAAGTGACATGTGGGTGTCCAGTGAGCACATCCCGGGTTTGCTCTCGTAAGTAAGCACACTTAGCTAGCAGTTGTGCCTTGAGCTCATGACTGTTGGAAAACAAGCATTTCAAGCATACGCTCTTCTTTCATTTTCTCCCCAATTCCCACTCATTTCTCCATGTCTATGTTTCTTTCCTTCACTTTGTATTTCTTGTCACATATTCTACAGCCTTCTCCGTGTCCACCACAAATGACACAGACAATGAACACACACAGCTCCAGGTCCAAGTGCCTCAAAGTGAGAGAAATGTGTGCTCACAATGCAGGGTGGTAGCTTCGTGTAGCTTCTACATTCAGCTGGGGACAAATAGATGTAATTGATTAGGTCTCACTGAGTATGGAGTGGGTCATTAGCAGTTGATGCCAGTTCTTGGGTCTTGGACAAGTGTCAGGGGTAGCACAGGGTGTAATGGGATGTCAAGAAGCCTCTCCTGAGAAGTAAGTGGATCCTTAGCAATCACCATGGCTAAAGACAGGCAAAAAATAGGGAGCTGGGAAGCAGCCGATGGCAAACCCTGAGGGTCTTTGAACCTGTTGTGAGGTAGACCTCTATAGCAACTTGGAGGATCTTGTGCTCACTTGATATTCTGTTAAGTAGGCTCTCAGTAATGTCTGAGGGTAATAATGTCTGTTATGAACAGGTTCCTAGATAGGGCCAATGCAAATCATTGATAAGACAATGCTGAGCTTACCCTTTGCCACAGTAAGAGGAGACACTGTCCTTGCAAAGCTTCATGTCTAGAGGAACAAAAACAAGATCAGAATTTTTTGATAACCAGAAATTTGATTAAAGTGAATCTTTCAGCAGAGGAATTTGGTGACAATGAGTAAGGATCCTCCTACCCAATGGCTGTGAGCTAGAGGGGTTGGCAATGTGAGGAACTGAAGAAGGCTGATGGTTCATTAAGATAGTTACTGAAAGGGATAAACATGTAGTTTGCTTGGGTTGAGCAGTCCTCTAAAATGAGTCCGTCATGGGCAGTCACATTTGCCTCATAAACAGAAGAAACAGCTTGGTCTGTGTTGAGACAGACTGGGGGTAAATGGATAGTTAACCTTCCCTGTCCACTTAATCTGTGAGGGTGTTTCTAGAGAGGTTGAAGAGTGAAAGGAGAGCCATCCTGAGTGTGGGTGACACCATCCCATGGATGAGGAATACAGACCTAAAGAAACAGAGAAAATCAGATAAGTAGTAATATTCACCTCTGTGCGTCCTGTCTGTAGGCACAGTGTGACCCTAACCCTGTACCCTCACTGCCATGTTTCTCCTGACACCATGGACCAAACCTTCAAACTATGAGCCAAAATACACCCTTCCTTCATAAACTTGTTTTCAATCAGCAGTGAGAAAAGTAACTATTCCAGAAAGCCTGGGAGAACCATGCTGTGAAAGGTCATATCTGTATCTATTGTCTGCCTATCTATACCATCTGGATTTGTCTCTGCATATCCCCTTATAGTTCCTGAAATTTTCAGTGCACACGGCAATTCAGAAGAAACTGCAACTGACCAATCCTGACTCTTTCAAGGATAGATGCAGCTGCTCGTTAAAAATGCATACGATATTAAAAGCAATTAAGTTATATTATTTATAAAGCTATTAATGGCTTTATTTATGCTTTGAAAGCCTAGGAATGCCGGAAATGTTTCATCTGGGGCTGTGCACCAAATGAAAATCACACACAGGACAGCACTATGCAGACCATTTGTGGTAGCAACCATTTGGAAGGAAGATGAAAACTTCAGCTTCCCTGGATGTCTCTAAATACACAGCTGGAGGAGGAGCTAGAGAAGCGGCCACATTCTTCACTTTTCATCGTTTTGCTTTATATCTCACAGAAACAGTGGTAGGAGAGAAAAGGGAAAGCGTTACAACAAATCATTTAAGTCAGAATCCAGTTAGACAGAAAAATCTGCAGCAAGTCAGTCTGCGGTAGACTGATTAATGATATGCTTCTTTACTCATTTGATTCTGTTGAATTTTGTCACACTTTACTCAACCAGGTAGTTATCAAGTGTAGAAAATTAAGCACAGAGATATCAAAGCCTGACATGGGACCTGAGCAGCTTCAGATGCAAGTCATATGGCACAAATGCTGACATGTCAAACACATTTTCCTACCCAGATAGTCGTGCAGCAAAGCCTGCATCTCCTGGTGTGTCTTGAGGGAGGGAGAACAGCCTCAGAAGTCATCAACTAATTCTCCTGTCCCCCCAGGTTTGGTTTGTTGAAGGACAGTGGCAATATAACAGGTGAACTGCCTTGATTTTTGTTTCTGGAGAATTATAGAAGACCAGGTGAAGATAGAGACTTAGAGAATGGCAGGATCCTCTTAGCCTATAGGTCTGGACTCTAGGAAATGGGGTAAGAGATCGCAAATAGTCCAACCCTGAATGCTAAGACTCTGGCTTCTTATTGGAACCTCTATTAGTTACTTATCTCATTGCTGTGACAAGTAACTAGCAAAGACATCTTAAAGAGGGAAGGGTTCATCTTCATCATAGCTCACTGTTCAAGGGTACAGTCTATCTTCACAGGGAAGTCTTGGCAACATGATGAGCATGCAACTCGTCACATTGCACCCAGAGTCAGGAAGGAGAGAGAGAGACAGACAGAGAGAGAGAGAGAGAGAGAGAGAGAGAGAGAGAGAGAGAGGGAGGGAGGGAGGGAGGGAGGGAGGGAGAGAGAGAGAGAGAGAGAGAGAGAGAGAGAGGATGTATCAAGGTAGTCCACAAGAACCCAGAATAAAGAGAAGCCAGGTGTTTATTAGGGAATCACTCACACAAAGAAGGTAAAGTCACTTCCGTGGTCGTCTGCACCTTAAGGGGCAGAAGCTGTTTCCTGATCCACCCAAGAGAGCAAGCACTTGCTTCCATTCCACACATAGCCTCTGAGCCCTGCTGCAAAGGGGCTGGTACCTCAAAGACTACTGGCTGAAAATATTCCTGCAACAATTCCCCTTTTTGTCTAAATAAGAGGGTTCTAAACCTAATACGAAACTATATACAATAAGAACAAATATCATGTATTTTCCAGGAGATAAAAAGCTTAAAAAACACAAAAAATTACAACTACAACCAACAAGAATATCTATAAGGAAGAAATACACACTAAATGACCAAGCTATAGGTAATTGGCTAACAACAGAGATTATTCCAACAGTTGTCCTTTCCTGAGGAGTCTAAGTCATGTCCCTAAAATGTCTCAACTAGGATATGAGAGGATGGTAGCTGAGACTATCTAGTCTTCAACCCCATCAAAGGTCTGAGAAGGAAAAGAGCCCAGGTTTGCTGACTGTCATCTTCACAACTTTGAAGGAAGTTCCTGAGGATGACATTCCAAGGGCTGCAGGGGTGATTTTCACAGGAAGTAAGCTTTAGGTGGCAGGCGGCTTCTCCAGCTGTTGGAATGAGACTGACATCCTCTCAGAAGCTCTGTAGCAAGGGAGGTTAGACCCAGAAGCAAGGAAAGAAGCTGTAGAAATTCCTGACACATTTAAGACACTATAGGTATTATTAATGTCATGGTCCAACAAAGAACCCACAAAGGAAAATGCTGTTTCACCCATCTCAGCCCAACCCTAGGATCCCAACACGAGGAACATATACTGGAGCAGAGATTCTGGGTGTGAGAGTCCATGTGCTGGGAACACAGAGGACTCTGCCTGTTCTTACTCAGCAAGCTAACTCCTGGAACAAAAGAGTCTGCAGATCAAGCCCCAAATAACATCTCCAGAAGATGTTTGCCCTGCTAAGTTGAGAGTCTCCTCCCACTGCTCAGGGAACTAGAGACTTTCTGTGAATACACAAGTGTAACTGTCTGGCTCTAGAGGGGCCTCCAGCTGATGCTCCCTCACAAACACTGTAGATGTACAGATGGTCCTAGATTCAAGCTGCGGATGATGAAGCTTCCAGCTCAGACTTTTCTGAGTATGGAGTAGAGCTCTAGCAGTCAGAAGGACCTGCTCTTCTCTTATGTTTTTTTATTCTTATCCATCTTTTAGGTTAGATTCAGATTCAATAGTTGGGGGCCTGGTGGTTCAGAGAAATGGCCCATGTTCTGTCACCATCCCTCTTTTTTTCTTCTTTTTTCCTTTTTCTTTTTAAAGACAAGGAACAAAGTACATAAGGCTGGCTTTGAACTCTGATCCTCCTGACTTCACCTTTACACAAGTGTGTGTTGCCAAGCTGGTTTTATACAGTGTTGGCTATCTTGTGCATGCTAGGTAAGCAACCTATCCATTGAGATAGCTCCCTAACCCATCAGCATCTTTCTTCCTGGATATTTTAAGACCAATACTTTTGTGTCTAACATCCATGCAATCACATCAAATAATTATAGAAGAAACGAGTACTACGGTCTCTACTCCTCAGGCCATGACTCTGAGACAAGAGTACAAGAATAACTGGCCACCGCAATAGAGCAGAGCTGGGACTTCTCAGGGTGGCCTGGAACTATGACCTTTCCTTGGAGTTCCACATTTCTGTTCCTTTTCTTTCACAGTCCTAGACAAGAAAGGAGGTCAGAAGTCAGTGTCCATGTCACTGTGAGGTGAAGCCACCATTCAAGAAGGAAGCAAGAGGCCCCCCAAGTGCCATGAAGCCAAGTGGTTCAGCAAAGGGCCTGCCCAAAGAGAAAGAACACAGCCTTTGCCACCTTCCCTGGTGCTAGGGCTGGAGTGAAGCTGCCTACCCCAGTCAGTCAGCACAAGTGGGTAGGTGTTGCCTCCAAGTCATGTATAAGAAGTCAAGGTGGAGGGAGACTGGGCAACTAACTCCGGCCTGCAGATGGCATTCCGCTGGGACTCAACTAAAGTTTATGTGGGGTTTTGTTGTTTGTTTGTCTGTTTTTGCCATGCTCATGATCCTTCTTCTTCTTCTTGAGTCCCAGGTCCCCTAGGATCTACAGTGTGATTTCTCAGGCTATAACTCCAGGACTGGCTAGCAGAAAGTGCCCTTTACCTGGACAGACACAGCTAAGAACAAGTCACAAGCCAGCTGCACAGCTTAAGTCAGGCCAACTCCATGCTGAGAGTCTTGAAAGGGGTGAGCCTTGAAAGCTGGGCCAGCCAGCATCCTGCTTTTCTTGACTTGGATGAATAGAGTTAAGACCCTCAAGTCACAGTTTGCAAGCTTGCTTCTCCTACTAGAATGAGGATTCCAAGCTCTCCACTTGTGGGCTCCCAGGGCCACACACAGGCTGCAGTGAGAGCAACCCAGCCATCCCTAAGGGCATGATCATACCATTGAGGGGGGATCAGGGAAGATGTGATGCCTGAGGGGACCGAAACTTACAGGTGCGTGATGGTCTGGGCCTCAGATTGAATCCTTCTCTGCCCAAGTCATGTATGGCTGAATTGGAGGGCTTGCCCATCTTGATATCCAGTCTAGCTCATTCCATGTGGAACCAGCCCACCCTGGACCTGCTTATAGGAGGCACCTGACTCTGACTGAAGTGTTTGGCCAGATGGAAGAGCTTAGAGTAGAGCAGACCAAGAAACTGGGTTATGTATAGCACAGCAGGTGTGTTGACTGTTGCTCACTGCTGGCTCTGCAAAACACTTGTCTATCGCCTGTCAGAAGTTTCTTCCTCCTGCCACCAAGTGTGACATTCCCTTGTCAACAAGGAGACAGCCCCCCCCTCCTGCTCTTCCTTTACAATTTCATACATGTACACACTGTATTGTTATCACATTCACCCCCCATTACCTTGCATTCTCCTAATTCATGGTGACTACCTTCTTCCCTGTTAACGTCCTTCCTAGTGTGAGTGAGTGTGAGCATTAGGAGCATATTTTGTACCAGAGCATGGGCAACTTGCCAGTGCTACACCACTAAAGAATATGAGTCCCCCTCCCCCAGCAACTGTTAATGACAAACAGTCCCTGAGGGAGGTGGTAGTCCTTGAGAGAGTCCTTTTATCATCCCAAATAGAATGTTGAAAGACCCGATCTTGTGGAGATATGACTACCTCTCAACCTTGCTTGCTAAAGACATCCAGGAATTAACAGTGCTTCACTGGTCCTCCTGGTCTGTCTCAGCATTTTCTGGGATAAGGCTAACAGTCACTGAGCAGTTATCGTAAGTCGAACATTCTTCTGAACATCCCATGTGCTTGTTTATTTCATCCTAACAACCCTGTGAAGTCTGTGCTGCTATCTCCATCTTCTTTCACAGCATCACAAGTAGAAGCCCAGCAGATGAGGTAACCTACACAATAGAAATACAAACATCAGAACTGAGAGCAGAACCTGGGCAAGCATTTATCTCTATTGAAAATAATAGAAGCCGAATGCTGCAAAAACAAGATTGTGTTTATGGGGAAGGAGATGGAGACAGGGTCAGTCACATACCATTGATGTCATTTCTGTATTTGATATGTGGGAAATAGAGGGCTGTGTCCTGTCCTTGTACAAATTGTTTCCCTTTTGTCAATCACTATCTAGGCCTTTAGAGTTCAAGTCCCTGGTCAAGGACAGTTATCAGCCAGGTAGTCTATGAGGTCAGGTCACAGACGTACGTTTGCATGAAGCAGGATGTGGAAGAGTTCCAGAGTTTTCATCCATCACTCTCCTGGAACAGACAGGCTTGGTATAACAAAGCTCTGTGTTTGCAGTCATATCTATGATGCTAACCAACCACTCACTGCTGCCAAACACACAGGAAACCACTCACATCTCATCCATCAGTTTCCCAGGGTGGACATAAGGAATGGCCATGTCTGAGAGCTTACACATGTTACACAGATGCCGAAACTTTCGATATGAAGATATGATGCTGTCATCTACAAAGGTCATTTGAGTTACCAGAAACAAGCAAACACACAAACAAAACACTCCCATGTTTTATGTAGGTTTACAGTTTTGTGTTAAACCACAACCATAGCTTTCCTTGGCCATATACAGATGTATTCACCCTGTGGGATGCAGATTGAACACATGTGAGCCAAAACAGTTCTGGAAGCCTCAGCATAACTTAAGGTTGGACTTGTCTGTAAAATAGTTACTGAGACTCAACTCGTAAGTCAGGTCACAGCTGAGGCTCTTGGGGCAGGAAGTTTCAGAGACACTGTTCAATTTATTTAGCAAAGCCTTGCTGGCTTCTTGAGCTCTGTACCAGGAAGTTGCCCGAATGCTTGTCTACTCCTAAACTCTATGCATCTCAGTGAACGTACAGCTAGGCGCTTAGGATTTTACACTTACACCCTACCAATTGCATTTGTATTTATCTTTCCACCACACAGGATGGAAATTAAAAACTATGAGACGGTTGAAACTAGAAAAAATAGCTTCATGTCTTCTTGTCTGATTCATGTGTCCATTTTTCTGCATTTAGTTAAAAAGCCTATCAGTCTGTCTTCTGTCCTCCCTCACCCTCTCCCCTAAAACCCACCAGATCCATGAGGGGAACTTTGACAGTCCTTTAGCACAATTTCCACTGTCTACACACAAGAGATCCATGCAAAGATAAGTGAGAGAGTCAAAGGGCTTAGAGAGCCTGAGGGAAATGTTGCCCACTGACTGTGAGCTTGTTAGTCATGGGAACTCTAGAAGGTACCGCCTTCCTACACCCAAAATAGCCTTCTGGCAAAATGTTGTAACAATATTGTAATTTTTATGAGGAGAAACACAAATACCTTACTAAAACTCCAAATTCTGTAAAGAGTAAATTGTTTTTAATTCTAGTTTTGTGGAAATTAATATTTCTCTACAAGTATGAAACTATGAATAAAATCATTTGATTTCATTTTCTTTTCATCATAAATTCATCCAAATGTTTCAAGAAATAAATTTGGGGCCAGTGTTGTTAACTAATAGAAGTGAAAACATAACATAATTGTCCATTATTGGAACTTCAAATTGAACTGTGCATGCTAACACCGTGAAGCCATCTTCTATGACTCTAGGTATTCATCCTTTTGGGCTAATCAGTCTGGGGCTTGCCCCTTTCCAGCACTTCCTTTCTTTGTTGCTATCATCCCTATTCATTGACATCCATTGTCTACCTGATCTCCCCATTCACCCCCCTGCACCCCTGAAAACCTCAGCAGCCACCTTTCCTAATCATGTAATCTACTCTTAAAGTAGAATCATTTACATTACAGACTGAGTGTCTCTTGTCCAAGTTACTTAGAAGCAGACATATTTTGGATTTGAGGTGTATTTTTGAAGGTTGAACCAGAGTCCAAACCATGGAATTTCTCTGTGCTTCCCTCATGTCCATCTGGCACCGGTGGTCTGAAGGCATCCTGGTACAACACCTTAACCACCTCTGCCTTTGGACTGCACCTGGCCACATGCAGCCAGACATGGACACTGACCCTTGCACTTTGCCACTGCTCACTTTGGAGCATTTACCGTATGCAGTTTGACGATTAAGGATGCCCACCTGTACTCCTCTGAATTCTCTCAACACTCGGAGCTCAGAATTCCAACATCGGTGTACTTTGCAAGTTGAGGGAAGTTCTTGAAGCTTGTTCTTACAGAATCTCTGTCTCCAGCCAAATGCTCGGTAGGTGTCCCACCATGCTCACTGCAGGCTATGGGTGTCTTACTCAGTGTATTCCCAAAGTAATCTCTTCAAGTGCCCTGAGGGTCTCTTTGTTTACTCACACGAGCCGCTCTCCACTGAAAGAAAGCCCTACTAGCCTTCAAAACTGAAAGAAAGCCCTACTAGCCTTCAAAATCCCTACTGCATGTTGTGTTCTTTCCAAAGATATACCTTATGTTGTCTCATGATTCTTTTGCCCAGAATCCTGAAATTAAGGAGTTGGTTAGTCTCCATCTTTCCCTGAAGGTTTTCTTCTCACTCTGTCCTAAGTCATAGCTCCTATGGCAGGGGTGGAGCCTCCAGCTCCTCTCTGATTCACAGAGGAATTTTGAGGGTGCCAGTCCTGAGCAGGTGTGGTATAGGTACTCATGGCTGCTTTTGCATCCTAAACATTTGTTGCCAGCCCCAGACCTTTGAACCTGTGTACCATGGTCTGTCCAAGAGGAAGACCTGCCCCATCTGGCACCCAATGTGTAAAGGCCAAGATCTGCAAAAACAAATGGCAGTCATCCATGGAAAGGGTTTGAAGAGGGATCATTTCAGCCTCCTTTTTAATTTTCTTTTTCCCTTCCTGAGAAGGATCATACAGAATCAACCCACTAAAAAAGAACCATCGTAAAATCTCACACCATTGACTTGTAAATGGAATTGAATCTGTAGCGTCTACGTAATGATACCATCAGAAAGGGAAGAGCTACCCCATTCATATAACAGATGAGATCTGAAATGACTGCCATGGCAGATGAACACCCCAGAGGTATTTTGCTTTATAATACTCACTGCATTTATGTCTCCAGTTTCTCTAATTTTAGTTATTTTTTTCCCCAGGTCTCAAGACAAGAGCAAAAAGACTCTTTTTTTTCCATCCTAACAAATCACCCCATACAGAAGTCAATAATATAAATACTTACGTTTCTGGGGTCAGCGCTGGGGCTTTATTAAAACTGATTTTTCAAAATGTGTTTTCTGCTCTTCCTGCAGCTACAGGGGAGCCCAGCCACCCACAGCTCCCAGACTCCCAGCATGCACCATGTGGCATGGCTCTCGGGCAGAGAAGCTGACACGGGATGCTGTCAGCTGCCTTCCTAGGATCAATCTCCTCCCAGGTCACAGGCAAATACTCCTTCCATTCCTTTCAGGAAGCTTCTCCAGTCCTCCTTTGGCCCCTCCTTGGCTGCTACCTCTTTTCTACCTCTGCTGGGTCTAAAGATTAGTGACTGCTTCATAACTGGTAGGTGCTCTTTGAAGGGACTTACACTCCTGCCTGAAGCAAAATTGACGTGTTAGGAAAGCAAAGACAGACAGCAGCATGAATAACCAGTGTTGCCTCCAGCTGCCGGGATGGTCACCCATGGCGATGAGCAGGGATTCCTGACACCTTTTCCCAAACCTCCTGAGAGTCACAATGGGAGTCACTAAGGCACCTGTCTTTCCTCAGAAGTGTTCTGAGGCCTCCAGCCTGGGACCTGATCATGCAACCCAGGTCTGTGTCACACAAAGGCCTAGTGCTCACCCTCCTATGGCCCCCCTTCTCCTCCTCATCAATTATTGGTGTGAGCATGATTTACATGTTAGAGGATCCTGGTTAAACTGTGTGCTTTGGACTTATTAAATATGGCTGACCTGGGGGGTGGGAGGGCAGGCCTCATTCCCATTACGAACAGGCTGTACTCTAATTGAAGGGAGCACAAGTCACTGCAGCTAGTGAAGATCTACACAGGACACAAACATTTCCCTGTCGGAACCAAGGCCAGGGGGCAATCAGGTCTCACCTTACCCACTGACCAATCACGAAGGGAAAGGAGAGATGTCTACGGGTGCAAGAGAAGTTTGCTCACAAAGAGAGACCCAGAGCACAGCACAGCCAGAGGCCTTGTACTTCGGGAGAAAGCGTGAATACAGGTAAGGAAACGAAAAGTGGAGGACAGACCACAAGACGGCCCAGCCACAGAACTTAATCACAAGCACTCACACACGTGCATGCACACACTCAAACACACATGAGCACATATGCACATGCACACTTTGGCTCATGCATGAATGGACGCAGAGGCACATGTGTGCACTCACATATGCATGCATGCATATTCTCTCAAATGCACATGAACACATGTGCACACACAGGCGCACATATACACACAATGCCTCCGAGTATTTTGCTCACTTATATAATTTTAAAAGGTTTCAGAGGCAAACATATGTGTGTGTATCCATACATGTGTATGTATATGTAGACATATATGAATATTCACACACACACACACATATATATATATATATAATACATGAATATATTTAAAGATTGACACATGGATCACTCCATTCTGCAACCTTTGCTTTTATTTTTATTTTTTTCAGGGTAGTTCTTATTTTTTTATTTAAATTTAAATTAGAAACAAGGTTGCTTCACATGTCAATTCCAGGTCCCTCTCCCTTTCCCTCTCCTCCTCCCGTGCCCTCCCCCCAACCCCTGCAATATCCCCTCATTTGCTTTTCTTTTTAAATATATAGTGATATATAAAACAGAAAATGTTTTCTTGTATAACATTTTGAAAATACAGAAAAATATAAAAAAATAAAACACTGAACACTATTCACAGTTCCTCCTCCCAGAAATATCTTGAACCCTTACCCCTGTGTTTATTGAAACTGGCCCACAAGAACACTGGAGGTAGACCTGCGCCATTTGACTGGGGAGTTGGATGGTCTACGCTAGCTGCTGTGTAGTTCTACGCTCGCTGCTGTGTAGTATGCCTGCCTCTGCTTCAGTGCTGTGCCCTCCCACCTTTGAGACAGCGTCAGGCTTCTTTGAAAACGTGATTTCCAGCAGCTACAAAATAGTTTTAATGACTGCCATAATTTATTTTTCCATGTCTCTATCTTCAGACATTCAGACGGTTTCTAGTCTTCTGTCCTAAGTCATGAGATGATGACTACCCCATATATACACCTTTGAGCAAATGTCTGGTCACTTCTCTCAGATACATTTCTAGGTGTGGAAATACCGAGTTAAGAGGAATGGACTCTCTTAAAGCCAAATTCCCTTGTGGCAAATATGCCCTCCCTGCTCCCACAGGCAATGTCATTTCCTGCCTCCCTCCACAGCATGTCGTTTCATCCTCACAGAATAGAGTACCATCCCTGTAGACCGGAAACATCCCTCCTACAGGAGAAAAATGTGTGTGTCCGTGTGTGTGTGCATGTGAGAGAGAGACAGAGACAGAGACAGAGACAGAGACAGAGAAGGAGACAGAGAGCCAGCGAGCATGGGGAAACCAGAGATCAATGTTGGATGTCTTTTTGTTTTTGTTTGCTTTCTACCCTTTAACTTTGAGCCAAGATCTCTTAGGGAACCCAAAGCTTCTGCATTCTGCTAGGCTGGACAATGGTCTCCAGGAATCCACCTGTGTCAGGGCCCTCCCCCACCGCAGTGCTGGGAATGTGGACCACACTGTAGCACTAGTTGGGAAGCTAGAGGTCTGCAATCAGATCCTCTTGTGTGTGGAGCCTGCACTCTACTGATGGAACCATTTCTCTAGCCCCTCAAATACCATTTTTAAATTTAATTTGGCACAAAAGGAGTTGACTGTCTTTGTGCTGAACTTTAGTTTCTCCTACAAATCGTATGCCACTGTCTTTAAAAGCAGGGCATTAAAATTCTTTATGGATTTTGAGGGGTTTTGCATCAAGGTAAATGAATATCTCATTGTCCTGAAATCTGCATTTTTGTAGTTTTAAAGTTGCTTAAAATATTATATGTGACATTGGTTGATGATTTAAGCATTACTATAATTCTTATAGCATTAAATCTATTATTCAATTCAGTTTTATTTTCTCTATTTCATTTACTGTTTGGCATAACCTTACTAGTTAGAGATAATTTTATATACAAACAACAAAGGAATCTCTAATTTTACTCTTAGCACATCAAATTTTTTAAATTAATTGTAGCTTGTGAGGGTTATCTTGCCTTTAATGTCTCTCTCAGAATACCAAGTAAAAATGAGTCAAGCAACCCACTCTTTCCACAGTGACTCACGGTGCTTCCTCCACTGGATTCAAAAATCTCAAGGGCCCCAGGATCTTTTTCTCGGTAACAAATCTGTTCAGATATTCCTGTGTAAGTAAAAACATTTTAGATATTTGGTTTTTGCAATTTATAATATGTATATAATTATATAGTCTACACAGTATGCAATTATAATAGTCTTTTAACATCTGATCAGTCATTTCCCATCACAATTTATGCGTGTTTTTTAAGTCACTTCCATAAGAAGGGTATGACAGTGCAGCACTTTTTCATTTTCTTACTATGGAAAGCACAGACCTATCATTTGAGACAAGTATTAGTTACTTTCCTCTTGGAGTGATTAAATGCCATGACAAAAGTGACTTAGGGATGACAGGGTTTGTTTTGGCTTATAGGTCTGAGCCTAGTGTCCACTGTGGCATGGCAGGCCTAGCATCAGGCAGCCAGAGCAGGAATCTGGGAGACCGATGCTGTCTTCAATCGCAAACAAGAAGCAGAGAGAGTCAGAGGAAGTGGGGCAAGACTCTGAAGGCCACTCCCAGGGATGTACATTCTCCAGCAAGGCTCCACCTCTTAGAAGCCCAGTAACCTCCCCAACACTGATACCAGCTAAGGACCAAGTGCTCACACTCATTAGCCTAGGCGGGACATTTCTCATCCAAGCCACCTTACTCACCCTCCTGGAACCCATAGGTTCATGACCATATCACAGATGTGCTTCGCCCAACTTTAAAAGTCCCCATAGTCTTTGAGTCTTGGAACTATTGGAAAGGCCGCATGCTGTATTATTCCATTCATAAGAAATGTTCACCCTAAGGAGATCTATTGGAACAGGAAGTAGATGATGGTTGCTAGGTGATGGCTTGGTGACTGTGAGCAAAAATGGAAGTGGTGTTTTTTTATTTTGCTTTGATGAAATATTCCAAAGCTAGGTTCTCATGACAATTGCACGGCTTTGTAAATAAGCTAAAACATCATTGAAGCGTACACTTGAAATGAGAGGATATTATGGAATATAAATCATTTTCAATGAAGCTATTGACATTTCGATTCAAGGCTTAATTTTTATAATTATTTGAGGATCTTTTATTGGGGGGAGTTTCTCAGCTTGCCATGATGACTTCGTATCTAGAAATATAATATACATTTTACTTTGTATTAAGCATGATATATAGGGTGTGTGTAAAAAATCACATGTGTTCAGGTGCACCTGAGTGTGTGCATGTGTGTACACACATGTGGAGGTCAAGGGTCACATCAAATATCTATTTCAATTGCATACCACCTCCTTTTATGAGACATGTCTCTAATGGAACTTGGAGTGTGGTGATATTTTGTTTATGCTCCAACAATTAAAGCTCGTCTGGGGATCAGAGGCGGGGCTAGCTACTAATTAATCACTGACGTCTATACAGACAGACAGGAAGAGAGAAGGAGTAGCGGAGACAGCACCTCAGCCCTTTCAGCTGAGAAGTTGGTAAGGTAGGAGTTGGCTGTGACTTGCTCCTTTGTCTCTCTGATCTTTCAGCATTTACCCTAGCATCTGGCTGTGGGTTTTTGCTATCACTATTATTATTACTATTACTATTATTATTATTGTTGTTATTATTATCATCATCATTATTTTGGTATTTCAAGACAGGGCTTTTCTGTGTAACAGCCCTGACTGTCCTGGAACTCACTCTGTAGACCAGGCTGGTCTAGAACTCACAGAGATCTGCCTGCCTCGACCTCCTGAGTGCTGGGATTAAAGGCGTGCACCACCACCACCCAGCTTGGGTTTTGATTATTAAGTCCAATTAGAACTCGTGTGACACTGGAACTTGTTGACTTGGTTAGACCAGTTGGTCAATGAACTCTAAGGAAGCTCCTGCCTGCCCATCTGTCCCTCAGTACTGAGATTACAGATGTGTGCCACGCACAGCTTCTAGGTGGATATCTAAATTCACATCCACATTTAGGTGTGGCACACATTACTGAACCATTTCACCAACACATTTTTATGCATTAAAATTTCTTAGTACTGCTAGAGTCACATTCGCTGTTTTCTTTTAAGTTTTAAGAAGAGAGCTATTCTTTTTGACTACTGCTACAAACTATTGCCAAAAAATGTTTCAAGTTATTATTTTTATCATGATAGAAAAAATTATTTTACATTTAACCTTTGACTTCATAAAAATTTATGAGCCATTTAACTTTTTAATGTTAAGAAAATTTAAAGATTCTTTTGAGATTGTACACAACACTATAGAGACATCAAAAATTATTGGGTATATGTCCAAGAATTTTCCCTTCCTCTTCGCTGGCTAGAACTTTCAGCATAAATTAAAAGAACACTTGTACTAAACAAATAAATTTGTCTTATTTTAATGAGGGTTTTTGTGTTTCTTCTTTTCATGAAAGTGCTCTTATGTTAAATATTGTCTTTTATTAATTTTCAAATATAAAATTTTAATTTGAAATAACTATGGATTCACAAGAAGTTGCAAAACCTAAAGAGAAATATCCTAGGAGCTGCACAATATTAAAATCAGGAAATTAACACTGATTAAAGTGTGCCTAGCGTTTGTTATATGTGGAAGTTACTTTAACTACCACTGTTAGTAGCTGAGATACAATGATTACTGTTCCCAATCACATTTGACCCAGCCCTCATTAGACATAGCCCCTGATAATCCATTGAACAATTTGTCTGTCTCTATCTTTAATTTCAAGAATGCTGTAAAAATGGTATGCTCTTTTGAAATTGGTCTGATGGTGTGTGTGTCTAGGTGGGTCTCTGTATGTATCTGTATGTGTGTGAGAGAGAGAGAGAGAGAGAGAGAGAGAGAGAGAGAGAGAGAGAGAGAGAGAGAGAGAGAGAGAGAGAGAGAGAGAGAGAGTGTGTGTGTATGGTGTGAGTTTGCATTCCTTTGGTACAAGTACTCAGAAGTGTGAATGCTGCCAGGGCATATGTCAATTCTGAGGTTAGTGTTTTTAAGAAGCTGTCAAGCTCCTGTAGAGCAGGCCTTGCATTTCCACAGCAACACTGCAGGAAGCTGGTGCATCTGGCCCTTGCAGCATCTGTACTGACGCCTGTCCCACCTCAGCTGTTTAGGAAGTGTTTAGCAACTCCTCACTCAGGTCTGACCTTTCATTCTCCCATTGGAGTTCATGCTGGCGATCCTCCCATGTGCTCTGACGCCGTCAGATGCTTTTCCTAGTTACCAACAGTGCCTGTCTCCCACTCACTTCCTAATCTCTATTATTTGGTATTCTGTGTTGAATTCTGGGGGATATTCTAGATGTGAACATGAATATTTCCCCAAGCTTGCCTTTGACCCTTCATGGGATCTTCCCCAGAGAAGACATCTTGGATGTCAATGAAGTAAGATTGTTTTCTCCTGTTCCAAGTTTGCTTTCCTTGTCTCCACTAAGAATGCTTCATCAGATTCTTATCCTGGAGGTTAGGAACTGGGTGTGTGAATGTTTTATAATCTCTTGCTTTCTGTGTAAGTGAGTTGGTTTTGGCCTGTGGAGGGCGCTCTGCCGGTTCTCCTGTTGACTGATAGCCACTTGCAACAGTGATCTCTGTTGAAACCCTTCTCCACTGAATTGTTTTAAATCATCATCTTCATCATAAGCCAGCTGCATGGCATGTATGGAAATTGTGCCGAGTGATGCATTCTTGTTAATTAACCTCATTTTGGCTATTCTCAATACTTTGCCTTTCAATTTACACTTCAGAACAATCTCATCTATGTCTACAAGCCATTCAAGACCAGTTTGTGCTGTGCAGATATTCTTGGGTGTGTAGTCTTTTCTCTTTATAACTCATTGGATAGCAAGGCCAGGGAAGACAGAGGAGGGAAAAAGAAGAGGACAGATAAGAGAGAGAACTTCAGGAATTGCAAGACAGTGATGGGGAAAAGGGAAGATGGAGATTCTCATAGTTTGGCTCTGAAATAAACATTTTCCCACCAAAGGGAGCTTGTTCTTCTCATTCTGGTAAATGTCCCGGCATGTGCTGTCTGATGCAGGACAAAGGCTCAGTCTTTAGTCAGTGAGTCCCCGGCCCCCACCTTCACATTATATTAGCTTTGTCTTGGGCATCAAAGTGTTTTGGTTTTTTTTCCATTTGTTGCTGAGGTTACTCCAGAGAGATGGAGAATGAGCAATGCAGCAGGGTGAGGTGGACTTGAGAACCATCTCATAGACAATACAGTTCCTGCTCAAAACACCACCGCAGGCACCAAGAGAGAAGTTCAAAACCAGAAACCCACTGAAACGAGACCTTGTAGACAAGATACTTCCTACTCAAAAGACCATTCCAGACACTTAGGGTGGAATGTTAAGTTCATTGCTTGGGGGTGGGGAGTGGGTGGAGAGGTTTTAAAACCCTGATTATCACGGGAACAGACATTGGAGGACCTTCCATAAATATAATTCAATCCAAAAGGCACTTTCAAGGTTAATGAATACCAGCAAAAGTTATAAATTAGATGTTTTCAAAATGCAAACTTAACCGCTTTTAATCAGGCTAAAGGAGCTATTTCCCTTTGTTATGAAAATGCATGCTGAGGTGATCTTAAGCTCCACATGATTTGAAAGCCTCAGTTTGCACAATGTACTCATCCTACTTGCCTAAGTATTCACAAAGAACTCTCCCCACTAATCTCCTGGTACTCCATTAATAATATCTGCACTCGAGTAAGATGACCTAATTCACAGAAAAATGGCCTTAGTTCATGTCAAAACTGACTATGTCGACGTTCTTTTTGGACAGGAAGTGAACTGGTACTAAGTACAGAATCCATGTGAGAGCTGCAGTTTTCCTGAGTGACTTCACCTGGAGTGATTGGAGCAGTTTTCTGAAGTCCCTCGCTCTCAGCTTCCCTCAGGGATAACTTTTTCTCTCTGCCAATGACTTGGCTACAGCCTTTTCCCAATGCCCTCTTCTGAGTGTGAACAGAACTTCAAGGTTCAGAGAACTGTCCCCAGAAATCAGAAACAAGAACTTCACACAGGACATGTAGCCTGCTCCTGGCCTTAGGCATGCTGTATGTATGACTTCATTTCCTGCAATGAACTGAAAAAAATAATCCAGTGCATTGGCAGGGCATGCCTGTTCTTTATTCCAGAGAAAGTGAAGCCTACAGAAGTTAGCAGAGATCTCAGCACACAAGGTGTTTGTGACACCCCACAAAACAGCAGACTCTTGCCTAGCATATACCAAGTGTTTGAGAAGAGTTTGCTTGCTCTTTTATTTACTCTATAGTCCTGACAAAAAGGATATTATAACCTAGTTATGAAAACACTACTACATACATGAAACCCTAGTACCCCATGGGTGGCGTATAATTGTATAAGAAGGTGCTAGCAGATCTGATTGAGACAGGAAATAAGGAAGAGTTTCAATCAGATCTCCAGAGGTCAGCTCTACCACACTGAAGACACAGCCCTGAGCCCCACGTGGAGATGGGAAGCAGTTACCCTTATACCATGTCGTTCAAGGAAGATGGAGACCATGAAGGGGTGTGATTGTCACCCCAGGTTTGTGTTATGTTAAATTTGATTCTAAAATGGGTAGCTCAGGCTGGAATGATGGCTCACTCAGCAAAGTGCTTTCCTTGCAAGCAGAAGGACCTGAGTTCTATCCCTCAAACCCATGTTTTAAAAGGAGCCAGGCGTGGTGGTATCTGTGATCACATCCTTGAGGAGCTGGATAGAGACAGATTCCTGGGGCTCGGTGGCCAGATAGCCTTGCCTACTTGGTAAGTTTCAGGTCAATGAGAGAACCTGTTTCTATAGAAAGAAAGAGAAAGGGGAGAGAGGAAGTAGGAGAAGAGGAAGAAGAAGACAATGACATAGGTGATGGTGTCTGTGACATGACACCTGAGGTTGTCCTCTAGCATCCGTGTGCACATGCTCACACATATACAGTCACACACACTCACATATCAAGACGATTCACCAAGCTACTGTTAATTCTGCTTTTCTCAACCAAACATTAAGAAATCTCAAAGGTCAATAATTTAAAAATGCATAATTGGAAAGAGCAATATTTCCTTTATGGAAATGAAAAAGATCATTTGTACTTAAATTCCCTCCCCTACCCCCCAGTGTTTTCAACTTGCTAATCTACGCAACCAAAATACCATCCTAGGCAACTTTATTTCTGAACTTTGTCAAAGTGATTTGATCCCAAGCTGAGATCTCATATTGAAAGGAACCGTATTGGCTCATGACCCCCAAGACATGGTTCTCAGCACAAAGGAGATTTATTTGTCCCAGAGGAACAGAGGGCAGGGGAATAAGAGACAAAACAGTAGAGGGTGAGGGGAAGGAGAAGGGAAAGGGGTGTGTGTCCTAAAGGGAGGACAAAGGAGTGCCTCTGGGTAGACAGAGGGACAGACATGATCCAAAGGCAAATGGCAGTTTATAAGGGTGCAAAGGGAAACACCACATATTAGGATGAGGTTTTTAATTTTAACTGGGTATGTTAATTAGGTGAGTTAAAGGGGGCTTTTGATTGCTGGACTTCAGCACTTTGAAAGCTGGATCTTGGTACTCAGCCCCAGGAGGAGGAAGTGACCAACTAAGGGAATAGACTTTGGTGACCAGCTTTAGGAATGTAATCTAATCATTTTTATTTTTATTTTGTGAGGCAGAGGGAATGGGGAGAAGGGCAAAGCCTGCCAGAGCCATGTTTTCCAAGCTTGAGCTAATCAGAGTCCCTTCACATATGCCCAGCATTGACATACACAGGGCATCACACCAGCCTGGTTTTGAACTCATGGAAACAGTAGCTTTTATTGGAAATGCTGACAGACCCCTAAGCAGAGCAGCACCGATAGCACCAATGATAATAAATATGAGGAGTGATTCCCAAGTTGGAGGCAGGCAAATAGTTACCCAGCTGCTGCAGAAACTGCAAGACAGAATTCAAAAAATAAAAAAAAGAAAGTGGGGAGAAAAGAAATTAAATGAAATGGATATTAGCTAGGAACATCTGTGTTCACCACAGAGCAAAATGCATATTCAGCAGCCGGCTTATCGGCTCTTTAGAGGATGTGGATGGAACCCTGTAAATAATGACCTGCCTGCAATAAATCCCAGTAAAAAAGAGAGGGGCCCCGCTCTCCGCCCACGGTCACATTACCGGGCCCTGCTGTGAGTGATGATTCACAGCCTGCTCAGATCCCTGTTTTCCAAACGGTCTTGTGTACAGCAGGGCTTTCATTAAGTTTTACACTAGCTGGGGAATTTAAAACAAGAAGAGAGAGTGTGTGTAAGTGTGAGAGAGAGAGATCACGGCCTCTTAGTCTAGGGAAGTGCTGAGAGACAAGATGAGCACGTGGTCTTCAAACCAGGCCAAAGCACCCATCCTTCTTCTCTCCGGACATCCGTGACTAAAGGAGACCAAGCGCCAGTGACCTTGCGTGCTGTGTAGTGTGGGGGGAAAGAGAACTGTCATCTTTGAGCTGGGATTTGAGTAGTGACTGGGAAGCCACATAACATTCCAGACACTGGGTTCAGTGATGCAAGAGACACCCACATCTCCCGTGACACTGCACTGACGTGTTCTCTACATAATCCGCAAATGTCTAAAGAGTAAAACCAGCAAAGGTTTAAGATTTCACTAATCATATGCTCAAGATCTATCTTGTGATCATTAATAAGAAGCCCTTGGAATAATTTTGAAAGCAGAAGTGAATACTAGAAGAGGTACCCAGGTGCAAACTGGACTTGTTTCCTCTTTCAAACATGGCTACTGGGCTAAGAGAACTGGCTTACTTTTCAAGCGTGAGGACTTGAGTTCAAACCCAAGAACCCCCCTGAGAGACCAGTGTAGTAGCATGCACTTGGAATCCCAGTGCTGAGAAGGCAGAGGCAAGTGGACCCCTAGTGCCAGCGAATTCCTAGCCAATGAGAGACTCTGTTGAAAGACGGGGATGGCAGGGAGGGAGGGAGGGAGGACGGACAGACAGATGGAAGGAAGGAAGGAAGGAAGGAAGGAAGGAAGGAAGGAAGGAAGGAAGAAGCAGGGTAAATGGAGGATGGCTCATTAGGAATGAAACTCAAAACTGTCCGTTGGTCTCCACGCACATTTGCAAACAAATGCACACAAACATATACACATAAACACACACACACACACACACAAACACGTACAAACACAAAATCTGGCTGTTTCGTCTCACCGTGAGGATCAGTATAAGATGTGAACACTCTCTTTTGGCTCTGAGACTTTCCTCTACAGAGATCCCAAGCTAATTCCAGAAATCCAGTTGTTTTCATGACATGACTATTTTTCTCCAGCGAGGCATCTTCCCAGAGACTACCAGGCAGTGTGAAATGAACGGAAGAACTAAACCACTGGGAACAGGAGTCTCTTAATATTGTTACTGAATGTGTCAATCAGCCAGTGGATTGAAATGAACAAGGCTTTAGTCATGCGCCTACTGTTTTCAGACTGTGTGTTTGGTTTATACAGCGCTGCAGAGAGCAGTGATCACTGGCTTCTCTGAGCATGCGGTTTGTGGTAGTCCCAGTGCCACAAAGAAAAGTTGGAGGTTGAAAAAGAGAAATTATGTGATATTTTTAAAAGTTGAAGAAAATAGAGAAAGTCGAGCTGGAGAGATGGCTCAGCCATTAAAGGCTAGTAGACTCACAACCAAAAATAAAAGAGAATAGAGAAATTCGAGCTGCTAAGTCCAAAGACACTGTAACACTGGTCTATATTTGAAACTCAAAGAATGCTTGGTGCTGTAATGGAGATTCATAAACAACCCTGGACACATATGTTGAAGATTTGATTCCCAATGAAGCAATAATCAGAAGTGCAGTTTTGAGGATGGGATCAGCTCAGGAGAGTTCTGGGTTAACCATTGATAGATTCAGTTTAATGGACTATGGGATGGTGGGAGAAACTGTAGGGTGTGGCACCCAGATGGAGGATGCCAGTAACTGGGGATGCCGTTTTCCTGCCAGGGGGTGAGCAGTCTTCTCTACCACATGATCCTTCCTCCAGGACCAAGAAGTCCAACCTAACATGATAAAAAAAATCCAGAAGGTGCACACTAAAATCCCTGCGTTATGCATATGCACACCTATCACATGTATAACACAAATGTATGCATTCGTTACGATTCACTCTGACAGAAGCAAGAGAACCATACCATGATCCAAGGGGACTCAGCCAACAATTCCTGAAAAAACATAGGAGAGAATGAGGCCCCACCACAACCCACTGAGTACTCTCTTTGGTACTGTATCTGTTCCAAGACCCCATCAGTGTCTGCTACACTGCTGAGGTGCAGATCCCTCTGTGACTGGGTGACCACACACTTGTGGGTCTCAGTATATTATCACAGTGATTCGGAATGAGTGATGAGTCCAGCTGCTTCCTGAGGCAAATGGAAGTTCAAGAGGACAGGATCTGCTGGCGGGGAAGGCAAAAGGTTCATCACCTATCACACTGCCAAAAATAGAAAGTACAGGTGTCACCAGCCAGAGTGTGTGGAGTAAGTCCAATTTTACCCCCAGGATACTATGCTGAGATACTCGTTAAAATATAATTGAACCCTGATATGTTGCCAGAATCTTCCTCAGGGGTAAGTTGTGAGGAATATCTGCTCCTGCCCTCTCCAGTTTTCTTTGTTCTATGTGTTTTCTGCTCTGTGAGGTAGAAAACATCCACATTGCCTTTGTGAGAAAGCAATTTTCAAAAACCGTGCAGATATAAAGTAAACAAGTAGCAAGTCTGCACTGAGCTCAGTGAAGAAGAGATACAAGTAGAGGAGCCAAGCAGTTCAAAATGGAAACATCACAGGGAAAGATGGACTCTTGATGTGATCTAATAAAAATGTAACAATAAATGAGCAAATCAACATGCAGGCTGGCACTTAGGGTAGGTGTTCACTCTGCCCTCGATGAGCGCAACACTCCAGAGGCAAGAATGACTATGTCTTTATCAGAGGTCCACATCTGTAAAGCTGCTACAGACTCCTACAGACCCAGAATCTCACAAAGCACAGCATCTAGATGCAGACTTACAGATCATCAAAAGGCAGGCTTTCCAAGCACCTGGAGGCAGACCCACTTTCAGAGCAGCTAGATGGCAGAATCCTTGAGTATCTAAAAGCACACTTCCCCAGTATAGGACACCAGACCTCCCACGTGTCCAGAAAGCAGAGTTCCCAAACATCAACACAGCAGACTTCCAAAGCATCTGGACTTTCCCAGCATCCAGGCATCTAATCTTTGCTGAAACCCAACCCCTTATGTTATTAATTCATTTCTTTCTTTCCAGAGTTTAACACTTCCCAGGCTCAGAAGGAGTTTCACCTAATAGCTATTTATTTAAAGTAAGCAATTGTGAAGCCTTTTAGAATTAAAATCATTTAATTTCTGTTCTCAAGGAAGGTTCTAGAACTGCCCAATGGGTGGAGTTAATAGAGTCCTACTGTGTGGTCAGGATGATGGTGCCATTCACTGACTTACCCCAGGAAGCTTATTCTAAAACACATGTGAAAATCATTGTTGTTCATAGCACTTCGTGGTCTGGAGGGAGAATGTAAAAAGCAGAGGAAAAGCAGAAATAAGACTAGAGCGCCAACTCCAAAGAGGGCCGACTCCGAAGAGCTCCAACTCCGAAGAGGGCCTACTCCGAAGAGCTCCAACTCCGAAGAGCACCGACTCCGAAGAGCTCCAACTCCGAAGAGCACCGACTCCGAAGCCCACAAGACTTCCTTCCACCCCTCACTGTGGATTGGGAGGTAGCTGTTTACCTCATCCACCCACCTCGACCCCAGGAGTAGCAAGGTAGAGCTTGGCAGGAAGTCACTCCTAAGCGGTAGGCTAGAAGCCTTCCAAGAAAACTCTGAAGGAGGGAATTTTGTTTGGAGAACAGAAAAGAGAGGACAACTTTTTAAAGATTGTGTAAATTACGCACTTCTGACCTGAAGAGATGCGTCCCTTCCTCAATCCCCCAGATAAGTCACCATGGCAAGAGCAAGGTGAGCACCCTACTCCCTTCTAACATGGCCACCTTCCAGCACACTTTCTTTCATGAGTATGTTTCAAGCCCTGTAAACCAGCAAAACTTAGCTCTGCTTGCGCACCTTTGGGCCCAATTACTTCACCACATGGTATGAGCTGTGGGAGTCATGCTCTGCACAACTTGCTTTGACCTGTGTGTGAACCTCAGCTGTGCGGTAACTCCCAGGACGCGGTGCAGCTTCCAGAGACCCGTTTTGTGTGTGCACAGTGCTGACTGTCCCAGGCAGTGCTGCTGAAGGCAATTTGAGCAAGATAGAAGGATACTCTGCCTTCATGAAAGGCTCGGGCACTCTAGGTCGCAGTAGAGTGTTGGTTTATCACTAGACCCCACGCCATGGCTTCTTTTCTCCTTTGCCACTGCCATGCATCTTCTTTCTGGGAAAGACTTAGCCACACTGTGAGACAGAATGTGTAGATTTTATGCAGGCTCACTTCCGTACCAGAAATATGACTGACAGCCAGGAGGTAGTGGTGCACGCCTTTAATATAGCATCCAGGAGGTAGAGCCAGGCAGATCTCCATGAGTTCAAGACAAGCCTGGTTTACAGAGAGTGTTCTGGGACAGCCAGGGTTACACACACAAAAAAAAAACCAAGAAAGAAAATGAAGGAAAGAAAGAAAGAAATATGACTGACAAGGTCAGGGCTTGCTTTAGGAGACCTTATGCTCAGTCCCTGGTAGTGACTCCTACATACAGACTCTGCAAGCAAAAGACATTCTCAGGGTGGCACACTTTGAACCTGTGCTGTGTTGTCTGCTGACCCAATAGGCATCTGATCACCTACCACTGAGAGGGGACAGGCAGGTGACACCTCACATTTACCGTGGAAGTGAGCTGAAATCATCAGAATACTATAATGGACTATATTTGTAACTTCCCTAAGATGAAACACTTTCATCAGCAGAATTGGCATAGATATTTTAGCATCATAAAGAAAAGTCAATGCTGACCTGATGGCCCCAGAATAGGAATCATAAGGAGTGACATTAGTTGCACTTCGTGCTGTGTGGTATCCGTTCTCCTGCTGACTTCAAATTTCTCTTTTAAGAAACAACTCAGTAGGGGCTGGAGAGAGAGTTCAGAAATTAAGAGTGTTTTCTGCTCTTCCAGAGGACCTGAGTTCAGTTCCCAGCACTGACATCGGAATGTCCACAATCACCTGCAGCTCCAGCTCCAGGAATCCAATACCTCATCTGGCCTCTGAAGACCACATAAGCAGCTCTCTCTCTCTCTCTCTCTCTCTCTCTCTCTCTCTCTCTCTCTCTCTCTCTCTCTCTCCTTCCCTTCTTGTCTCCCTCCCTCCCTCTCTCTCCCCCTCTATCTCACACACAATTTTTAAATAAACATTTTGAAACAATCTCAAGTTTATAAAATACATGTGAGTTAGATTATTCACAAATGTCCTTTGCGCATGAAGGAGACTTCAGTCATACTACAGCTGACCTGCTCTTGTGGAAATGGACTTATTATCTTCTTTGCAAGCATCAAAAACACCTGTTCATGATTTAAGAGGTGAGTTGACCATCTTTAACTGGTAATGCTATATATAGTTTGAAGTGCCCATGGAACTTGGAGTGTGAAAGCAAATTTTGAGCATTCAAGAACCATTCTCCAATGAAGATCTTAGCAAAAGGCCACCTTGCCTCCCTCCGTGGAGTGTTCTCTGTGTGCCTGTTGCTTTCCACTGCTTAGTGTTACATGGGCTGGCTACGAAAGTCTTGTCTTGGTGAGGGAATTAATTACTAGAGTGATAGGCCCAAACCACACTGTTCTTGCTGCCTGGTGCTCCGATAGTCGATTTCTGTTACTTGAGCTAGCAGGGAGGGAGTTTGCACACAGAGCATGCACCATGATCTTCAAAGTCTGAGCTCTCGGTCTCTCAGCTCAAGGAGAGAAGCTCCACTCACAGGTTCAGCCACACTGCCAGGCTGACCCTGCCACATCTGCCCCTATGTGGTCTTAATCTGGATCTATGCTTACGGAACATTTCAGCTCACAGACAAGACTTTCAGGCAAATGCCCCACCACACTGCCAGGGTGATCTTGCTCTGGGTGCTCTTCAGCGTCCAAATTCCTCCCATCACCGAGATTAGTAACTTCCTTCATTCATTTGACAAAATACATGACAAGAGTAACGTAAGGAAGGGTGGGTTTACTTTGTCTCACAGTTTGAGGGTAGAGTCCCTCATGAGGGGAAATCCTAATAACAGCAAGAGTGAGAAGTGGCTGGTCACATTGCATCCGCAGTTGAAAAGCAGAGAATGGAGAATGCTAGTGCTCAACTTACCTTCTTCTTTTTATTCAGACTGATAGATAGGCTAGTCCTTGCGATGGTGCTGCCTTCATTAATGTAATCTACATAAGGTCTTACCACCTTCATTAATGTAATCTACATAAGCCCTCAAAGGCATGTCCTGAGGTTTGTCTCTTAGGTGACTCTACGTCCTGTCAAACTGGAAATCAACAGTCACCTTCATATCACCTAGACCTATTC